TTTGACCTGGGACTCTGGCAATCCTGAGCCAGTGTCCTACTACATCATCCAACACAAGTCCAAGTACTCAGAAGACTTGTACAAGGAGATCGATGGTGTAGCCACCACTCGGTACAGTGTGGGAGGCCTCAGCCCGTATTCGGACTACGAGTTTCGGGTGGTGGCGGTGAACAACATCGGGCGAGGGCCACCCAGTGAGAGCATTGAGGCCAAAACAGCTGAGCAGGCACCCAGCACGGCGCCGAGGCAGGTCAGAGGTCACATGCTGAGCACCACCACAGCTGTCATCCACTGGGATGAGCCAGAAGAAGCCAACGGGCAGATCATGGGCTACAGAGTCTATTACACAATGGATTCCACTCAGCACGTCAACCTCTGGGAGAAGCAGATTGTTCGGGGGGCTAATTTTGTCACCATCCAGGGTCTCATCCCTAATAAGACCTACTACATCAAGGTTCTGGCCTACACCTCAGTAGGTGACGGACCTCTCTCTCCAGATCTCCAGATCATTGCTAAGACGGGAGGTGAGCATGACTTGTTTTCTTTACACAAGAGCCAAAGTGACAGTTAAACTAAATACAAACTGAACAAATTCAAAGCTCAGAAACTATCCATATATACCAAGATTAAAACTGGACTGTCATAAACATTTCAGCTGGCATGTTTTTGTATGTAGTGATCCTCATTAGGCTGTTGCAGTTGTTAACTGGAGCTGTGAACACAGGATAACAAACACTTCCATTGTCTCTCTCAAGTGGCAGAAACTGTTTTGTATGAAAAATGTTAAATAAAAAGACATTCGGAAACTTTCTTGTTTACTTCTTACATAAAAAGCTGCTTGTGTACTGTGTACTCTTTGTATACAAAGTACTAATTCAGCTGAAATGACCGTGTCTCCTGAAACACAATGTGGCTCTTGATGCAACAGCTCTTACCACAAAGTGGCAATTGTGAAAATATGACTGATAATGAATAGTGCAAGACAATACTGAATTAATCTCTTCATTACAATTCCAGTTCCCTCGCAACCAACCGACTTCAAAGGAGAAGCCAAATCAGAAACAAGCATTTTACTTTCATGGACTGCCCCAACACAGACTGGACAAGAAAATCAAATCACAGGATATGAACTTATGTACAGGAAGAGGGACGACAAAGAGGAGGTAATTTTATTCTGACCTGTGCCATTAGATTTTTCATGTCTGTAATAATATAAGAAGTATCAATACACTACATAATCAACAGCGTTATAAAAATGATTTGGTTTGGTAAGGCAAGTAAGGAATTGTCTTGCTTACTACATATAATTAAAGGTAGTGTTGGCGATTCCTTTAAGAGGCATTTTTTGTCACATTTCTTGAACTTCTTTTCATCCTGATAGCAATGAACACATTAAGTGCACTGACAGCATAAAGAAAAAAATCCATCTTCTATAGCAGCAGCAGGGCTGAAAAAAACTTGACCAATAGTTTCTCACCCCAAGCAAAACTATTGGATGGCTTACCTGCCCTTGTACTTAATGCGTGAGCCATGAGTCTCCCACAAGGCCAGGTAGGCAGACATGTTGCAATATGTTTATAGCTAAAGCTAGTGAGCTACGGCAGAGAAGGTATCCACAGCAGCTTTTGGTCACAAACGGAGACCATATTCAAGAAAATTACAACTAAAATGAAGTTGGATGCGCCAAGAAGTAAAACCAGAAGTAACAACAGTGTGGCTTTTGAATGATGCAGACAATTTAGAGAACAAAAGGGGCTGAAAAGTGACGCCATGCTGGCCGTATTTTTGCTAGACAGGAATTAATGGTTTTCTTTTGTTAGGAGGGCAGTTGTTATTTTCCTTTAAAGAGCCAGGCAGTATGCATAGCACATTGTGTTTTCGAGGAGTGGCTTTGGAGACAAGTCAAAATCAAAGAGTGGGATTTTTTCAGCTGGTTACTTTCAAAATCGAGCTTCTGCTTGCTGGTTTTTCCAAGATTGCCAACCCTACCTTTAACAAATAATACAATGCGTATGTGTAAAAAAAATTAAGTCTTTCACTATTACAAGTGAATTAGATAGTAATAAAATATTAACAGTGTATTAGTTTTAGGGATGTTTTGGTGGATTTGGAGTGTTTTAGGAGTGTGGCTCTGAGAAAACAGACTTGAATCTAGAATAGGCTTCAGGTCACACGCGAGCGATATGGAAGCTGACACATGACCAGTGTAGACAGCTGGATTGATTATTATAGCAGCTTATTGATTACATGGTACACGTGTCTCAAAAACGTGATTGAATCTACAGAAATACAAGACTGTATCTCTAAATAAGAATAGGATCAGCTTTAATTAGGTATCATACACTTGTTTGCTGTTATACCATAACATCTAGGACTAAATAATGTAACAATATGACTGCAAATCTATTAACTGTTCATCTAGTATGAGAACTCAGAATCAGACATTAACCTCAAAGGGAAAGTGTCTAAAACATGTTATTGGTCAATAAAAATCAAATTCTCTAAATAAAAAGGTCAAAGGCATTCTTTTGATGCTGCACACCAACATCCCATTTTAATTACCACAATTGAACGAGATCCTCTAAACCCTCAGTTTCTTATATATCTGACAGAGCAATATGCTTATTTGTT